CACACACACACACACACACACAGATGGAGGGAAGAAAGGAGGGGAGAGAGAAAGAAAGAGAGAGATAAAGAGAGAGGGAATATCAGCATTCAAATGACCACAAATTTGAAACTCAAAAGTAATTTTTTGGGCTGGGGCAGTAGCTCATGCCAGGCAGTGGTGAAACATTTCCTATCATGTTCAAGACCCTTAGTTCAATTCCTAGCATAGCAAAAACAAAAATAATTTTTAAAATCTCTCCCTCTTGATGCTCAACACAACCCTAGATTCTCTTATATCTTGCTTTTTCTATTCCCATTGTCCTTTTATTTGCAGAGTTTGATCCCTCTCATCTGAATTATTGAAACAGCTTCCCAACTTGTCTTTCAAATCCATATCTTTCTTCTTTAATACATCTTATATGCTGCTGCAACTTTAACTTTCTTGAAGCACAACTCTGATCATGACATTATTCTGGTCAGAAAACTTCAGATGAACAGGCCAAATACCAGAGCCTTCAGGTCTGAATCCTGGTCCCAGTTCACATTTCTATCCTCACTTGCTCCTTGGTACTTGGAGTAAAAAGACCTGTGTTTGAGTCCTGGATTTGCCATTACTAGACATGAAACCTTTGAAAAGTAAATTAATTCTCTGATCTTGTGTTTCTTCATCTGCAGGATGAAAAAAATTAATATTGCTTACCTCAAAGGGTGAAGAAGGTATTTGTGAAAGCTCTTTGTAAACACTCTAGGGACCTATAGTTTTTACTATACATGAACTCCATACTCTAATTAAATGCAACAACTCAATATTCTTCATGCTTTTGTTCATCCAGTTGTTTATTTTGCCTGGAATGCCCTCCATGTTACCATGTCCATATGTTCCAATCCTTCAAATCTCAGCTCAAATGTCACCTCCTCCACAAAGCCTTTCCTAACTCTCCTCTTCCTGATAAGCTGGAAGTCATTTCTCCTTCCTCTGAACTCCCACAGCACTTGTGCGTATCTTTGTTGATATATTATTTTCTATGTTGTTGTACAAAGATTAAGCCTGCAGTATATTTCTTATCTTCCCTATTTGAAGGGTGAATCCATATTGTTCATTTCTGTACCTACCACAGTGGTCTTATACACAATAGATGCTTATACACAATATATGATTCATTAGCAAATTAATGCATAATAGAATTAACTACTGAAGGAAAACTGAAAATGAAAACTTTAGACAAGCCATTAATATTTTGATCTCCCTATTCTCTATTTTCAAAAACATTTGTTACTTACTTTTAAAATATGTTTTTATATATCTGGAAGCATGCACATATGTGTGTATAATATTCATACATATCCACACCCATGTTAGACATCTTAGGCCAAGATATGGTTCTTTAGGTTAATGCTTAAGACAATAATTGAAAACTCATTAAGTCACCTTTAAAATACAGTACACACAATACAACATAGGTACAACACGGTGCAACTGTGTGAAGAACATGACATTTCTTACATTTCTCCCACCTCCCACTATGTTAATTGTTAATTTTACCTTTTTTGTTTTGTTTTAGTAAGTTACATGCATACAAATCTTATTCCATGCTACAGCCATTCACTGGAGGCATAGTGTAAAACCTAAAGGATACAGGCCCTGTTATCTAGGATTCCAAATGTGTCAATGCCACTTTTTTCCTCTGAATATTCTAATAAAGTCATATTTTATATATATACACACACACACATATAGGGAGAGAGAGAACGTGCGTGTAAGTATTCAGTGTTGTAGTCAAATTAATCATAAAAATTTTCCATCATCTTCCAAATAACTCTCCTGACACTTCTCCTGCGACCCACCAACTTCTAGATCAAGACATCTTTCATGGCATAGCCACAGTAAGAGCTTAAATGAGGACTAGTGCTCATTCACAGAGCTTTGAAATCATGTTCAATTTTGTCCTGTGTTACCTAGCCCCATAAATCTCTCAAACTTCTTTCAATTTTTGAAGTGTTTATAATGTACTCTGTATGCGGTTGCATTTTATGCAGGACTGCTTTTCTTCTTTGCCTTCCACACAGTATTTAGCATACTACTGCAAAAGCTGATGTACTTGGCTTCAAGGGATCAACTGAAAACGCTTTAAAAGCAAACACCGGTGGAGCGAGAGGTTAAGTCCTCAATATTCATTCCAGCGGTGTGAGGGCGCTCGTGGACCATGGACCCAGCCCTCTTGCAGCCTCAGGGAGCCAAATGCACTCGTGTCATCTCTTAAGAGATGTCCCATCATTCCTAGACTTTCTAAGCCCAAAAGTTAGAGAATTCTGTTTTCCAGACCTTTCCTAACGACCCTACCAAGTCCTGTACTAGGCCCCTTTGCTAACTTGGAGCCCTCCATGGGTCGCCAGGCGCTGTTGAGCCAGCTGCCTTGGGGCCCGATATTTTTATGTATCTCCTTTTGATTATTAACTAAGCTACCCTAAAGTGCCTGGAACATCACGAACCAAAGAGAAAAACCATACGTGAGTCCTGACTCTTTGGATACACTTCGTTTCCTCGGCTTTTGCTTTATTCACGCAACCTCGTCCCCGGTGAGGGAGCCACCGTCCAGAGGCCCCCACCCCAGCCCCGGCCCACCCCGTGCAGCTCCGCGCATTCCTCTCGAGTCCGCAGCACCACGCTGGCACCACTGCCTCGGGCTATCGCGGCCAGGCCCGCCCTCGCCACTCACCTAGCAGCTCCGCGATGGCACTGAAGGGTCGCGTGTGGCTGCTGGAGTTGCTCTGTAGGTAGCGGGGGCTCATCTGGGGGCGAGAGAAGGTCCCGTCCCGCGTGAGGCCTCGGCCCGCCAGGCCCTCCCCGCGCGCCCCCCTCAGCCCTGGGGCCCGCGCACGCGTCCGCCCCCTCGGGCCCCTGACCTACCGTGCTGAGGCGGATCCCGAAGGCCTGCGGGCCACTGCCCTGCCGGGCCAGCCCGCCGACTGGCGCGCCAGGGCCCGCGGGGGCCCCTCGGTACAGGAGCATTTTTTTGGCCGCCACGATATTCGTTTGCTGCCGCCGGACTCCTCGCCCCGGCCGTCCCGGACTAGCCCTCACTCACTCCCAGTCGCAGCTGGCGGCGGCCGTCCGGGACTGGCTCTCCTCCGCTCCCAACTCGCAGCTGGCGGAGGCGGGGCGCACTCCAGCCACCTGTCCCCAGCGGGAGGGGTGAGGCCGGCTGAGCCGAGCCACGGCCCCGCCCTGTCAGCACCTCTACGGATCCACGGACTGCCAGAGCTGCCTCAGGGCCGTACAGAAATATGGCGACCTCCTGACAGCCGCTCCTTGATCCCCGCCCCTAATTAATTCTTGGCGTTTGCCATAGGCCAGGCCGCCGAGCGGGAAAGCGCGAGGTGGGGGGGTGGCGGGGGGATGGCGCGTGAGGAGGGGCGGGAATGAGGCTAGAGGAGGGAAGAGCGTGCATGGGATTTCTGGAACTGAGTCCCTCTAAGGCTGAATGACTAACGGGCAGGATAAGACAAGTTTTTCAAGTTCTAAAGAGTACAGTTTTGCTATAACTGGGAAAATAGGAGGCTTACGTGAAGGGAAAGCATTTGGACTAGCTACCTCAAATGCCTCTGGAAGTGCCCAGAACTTTCTAGAATATGATTGGCAAACTGTCTAGAGAGACTGTAGGCCTGTAGGGAGGCTGTTTATGAAAGGAGAAATTGAACTTAACTTAAATATGTTCCTGCCAAACAGTGGATTGGTTAAGTTATGGAATATCCATGAAATAAAATGATAGCCATTTTTAAAGCCATGTTTGTAGATTAATCTTTATTTTATTGACACTTATAATTTTATGTATTTATGGGGCACATTTTTAAAAAATATTTTTTTAGTTATAGTTTGGCACAATATCCTTACTCCATTTGTTTATTTTTATGTGGTGCCCAGGTTCAAACCCAGCACCTCACATGTGTTAGATGAGCACTCTAAGATGAGCCACAACCCCAGCCCCTATGGGGCACATTTTGATGTTTGCATACTATAAAGTATTGATTAATATTCAAGCAGCCATCTTAAATGTTAACCACCTTCTTATGAGATAAGTTTCCCTTTCCTGTACTTCTTGTTACTGAACTCCCCCAATCCCCATTAGTGACCTACCCCATGGTACTATAACCCTTCGCCAATCCCAGAAGGACAGGACCCCTTGGCTCTGGAAAACCCCATGGTACCATGACCTAACTCAATCCCATGCTATTCCACACTCGCCCCTAGCTCTGACACGAACACCACCCCACCTCCAGCCTATCCCATAGCACCACAACTACAACTCCAAACCCCTACCCCACAAAAGCTGAACACCCAAACATCTTAGGGCTTCTATCCTCTCTATAGAGACATGACCTTTATTTGTCAGCTTTGACAAGTAAACTTTCGTGTAGGTCTCTTCCTGGTCTCTGACCTTCATTTCTCGTTTGCCTCTCTCTTTTTCACTTTCCCTTCGCATACATGTATGCATTGTATATTGATGAAGTGACAATAGTTAGCGTATCCATCACCTCGTGTATTTATCTTTCTTTGAAATGAAAACGTTCAAAAACCTCTCTTATAGCTATTTCAAAATGTGCAGGACCATCCAGTAGTACTTAACTCTGTATCCATTGAGCACCTGCTCCTGACCCTTAGCTTTCCAAAGCTCTTCTCACCTCTGGTAACCACTGTTCTACTCTCTACTTCTATCAGATAACTCTTAGTGTAGACTACAAATATGAGTAGAATCATATGGTGGTTTTTTTTCTGCATCTGCCTTATTTCACTCAACATAATGTCCTTCAGTTTCATCCATGTCATGTCTCAAATGATGGAATTTCATTACTTTTTTATGGCTGAATAGTATTCCTGTTCTTTATGTAGTCATCCATTGTTGGATGTTTAGGTTGATTTAAAGTCTCCAAGATTGTGAATTGTGCTGGGATAAACATGGGAATGCAGATGTCTCTTCATTGTACTGATTTGATTTCCTTTGGATATAAACCCCATACTAGAATTACTGGATCATATGATCGTTCTATTTTTAACTTTTTGGGGAACCTCCAACTGTTTTCCATAATGGCCGTACTAATTCACATCCCCACCAACAATGTGTGGTGGGTGTTCCTTTCCTCCACATCCACACCAGTACTGGTTTTCTTTGTCTTTTTTATAATCATCATTCTAACAGGAGTAAGGGGATATTTCATTGTGGTTTTGATTTGCATTCCCCTGATAACAAATGATTTTGAGCATTTTCATATACTTGTTGGTATTTTGTATGTCTTCTTTTGAGAAATGTCTAAGGTCTTTTGCCCATTTTAATTTGGTAATTTTATGTATTAATTTTTTGCTGTTGCATTACATGTCTCACGTATTTTGAATGTTAGTTCTAGGTGACTGTTTATTGATGTAAAATGAATTTATGAGGGAGTTAAGAAAACAAAAGGTTGCAACATACATTGTGATGCGCCATACATGGTGGCACTCATCCATAATCCCAGTGACTCAGGAGGCTGAAGCATGAAAATGGCAAGTTCAAAGCCAGCCTCAGAACTTAGTGAGGCCCTGAACAACTTAGAAATATCCTGTCTCAAAATAAAAAAATAAAAAGGGTGAGGATGTGGCTCAGTGATTAAGAGGTCCTAGATTCAATCCCTGGTACCAAAACAAAATAAAACAAATGACATGATGTGTAATGTGATATATTTTTATTGGAAGACCAAATATATGTATGCATATGTTACGGTGTTTCTGGAATGTCCCCTAAAAGCTCACATGTTGAAGTCTTGTTCTGCAGTGCAGCAATATCCAGACATAGGACTTTGGGGAAGTGATTGGATTATGAGGCTTTGGCCTTATCGGTGACTTGATAGCTGAATGGACTATTGGAGATGGTGGAAACTATAGGCTAGGTGGGGTTTGGTTGGAGGAAATAAGCCACTGGTGATGTGCCCTTAGGGATTATGTTGTCCTTGGCCACTTCCTCCCTGTCTCCGCTCCTCCCCATTGTCTACTTTCTGGCTAACATAAGTTGATCGGCTTTCCTCTGCCACACCATTCCATCTTGATGTTCAGCCTCATTCAGGCCCAAACAAATGGAGCCAGCCAACCATGGACCTCTAAAACTGTGAGCCAAAATAAACTTTTCCTCTTCCAAGTTGTTTGTGCTAGATGGTCCCAGCAATAGATGGTCTCAGTATTTTGATCACAGTGATGAAAACCTAACACAGTGTGTGTGTGTGTGTGTGTGTGTGTATACATACACACGTATTTATACACACATACAAATATATTCATACAGATACAGTCATCATTCAGTATCCATAGGAGATTGGTTTCATCACCCTTGAAGATATCAAATTCTATGGATGCTTCATTCCATAAAATGTTGTAGTATTTGCATATAACCTACCCACATCTTTCCATACATTTAAATTGTCTCTAGATTACTTATAATACCTAATAAATGTAAATGCTGTATAAATCATTGTTATATTATATCATTTAGGGAATAATGACTAGAAGGTTGTACATATTTAGTATAGAAACAGTTTTTTTCTGAATACTTTCAACCTGCAGTTGATTGAATGTGTGGATGCAGAATTCACAGATACAGAAAGCCAACTATATACACACACAATGAAAAACATTTAATATAAATCAAGTTGATATCTCTGAGTCTAGAATTATGCATTTTCCCATTTTATTTGTATTTTGTACTATTATTCATGTATTTTGTTTTTTTCTAAATATTTATTTGTAGTTGGACACAATACCTTTATTTTATTTATTTATCTTTATGTGGTGCTGAGGATAGAACCCAGGGCCTTGCATGTGCTAGGCACTCTACCACTGAGCCACAACCCTATTATTCATGTATTTTGTAAAAATATAATATTCCATGACATGAGTGGATTATAAATTTGTTTGACCATCCTTCTATAACAATTTAGGTTGTCTTCAACTTTTTTTTTGACAGTTCAAAAAGTGCTGCCTCAAATACTCTCATGCACAGGTCACTAATTTCTGGTACTATTATTTCTTCAGAATAAATTCCAGAAAGTGAGATGGGTGCTTCTAAAAATATGCATGTGGTTTAATCTTTATAAATACTGTAAGGTAAAGGCAATTGCCTTCCCAGCAACAGCCAGCTGTTTGGCTATGTTCATGGAACTAACCTTTTAACTTTTTGTCAGTCTTTTGGATAGAAAATAGTATCATCTTATTGTTTTAATTTGCATTTTCCTGATCAACAGTGAGGCTGAATATCTTTTCAAATTTTATTGCCTGTTTATATCTCTTTTTTTGTGGTGCTGGGCATAAGAACCCAGGGCCTTATGCATGTGAGCTATATCCCCAGCCCACCTATTTGTATCTTTTGAGCACCATTTTCCCACTACAGGGTCGTTTGAATTTTTTTTTTTTTGTGTGTGTGTGTGTGTGTGGGTACTGGGTATTGAACCCAGAGACACTTTGCCACAGAGCTATATCCCAAGCCCTTTTTATTTTTTTATTTTGAGTCAAGTTCTCACTAAGCTGCTTAGGGCCTCAACTTAGTTGCAGAGGCTGGCCTTAAACTTGCAATCCTCCTGCCTCAGTCTCCTGAGTCACTGGGAATATGTGTAGACCATCACACCTGGCTGCATTTATCTTTTTAAGTTACCTTTTCTTTAATTTTAAAAAATATACAAAAATACATAGAACAACATAATAAATCTTATATACTTATTGCTCTGATGCAGAAATTATCAAGACTGCCATGCTTGATGCAACATATTGAACATTTTTCATTCCTACAAAATTCATATGTTGAAATCCCAACCCCAATGTGATGGTATTAGCAGGTGGAGCCTTTGAGAGGTAATTAGATCATAAGGGAGGTGGCTAATGAATGAGATTAGTGCCTTTATAAATAGGACTGCAGAGAGCTCTCGAACCCTCTTTCCTCCACCTGAAGACACAAGGAGAAGTCTTCCATCTATGCCTCATCAGAACCCAGCCATGTTAGTACTCTGATGTCTGACTCCCAGCCTCCAGAACTGTGAGAAATAAATTTCTATTTTCTAGAAGCCACCTAGTCTATGGTACTTTGTTACAGCAGCCTGAACAACAGACACCTGCTTTATATATTTATTTTATTTCATTTCTGTAAGCGTTATAGGGCAAATCTCAAACAGCATGCCATTTTACCCTATATATGTTCATTTCTGTTCTATAAAAACCAGACATTTTCTGACAAATGTAACTATCACTCCACTTTCATACTAAACAAAGTTTATGATAATCCTCTAATACCT